CGCGTGTGCACCCTTTTCCTCGACTATGATCCAGCTTTCAGATTAAAACAGTATCTGCTTGCATCCTCTCGTCTGCATAAATCATACCCTTGATTCTATCTCTCCTCTCTTATGCCATTATTTTCAGCTCCTGTACACTCGCTGTCCTCTGTCCAGTTGTCCTTAGTACTCTTTCCGTTTTGATGCAACTCTCTCGTTCATTCCCTGCTAGAAATTTCCCTCCCTACTTTATTCTCTTCTCAGGAATTTACCTGGCCCATCTTCGAATATTGATGGCGAGAGGATTATAATTAGTTTAAATATTCTTAAAAACTGCATGATTAAGACAGATTTTTCTTCATTTTTTAAGACGAAACGTTTATTGGAATTCTGCTTCAGAAGGCTCAAGAATATTATCAACGCGGATATAGGAGATATAGTATCTCTAGCAGCATTATACATTTTTCCCGCGTATGAAAATAACCTGTAAATAAGAAAATGTATTGTTACACGATTGATCAATGCGTGCATATTATATTTTAAGTAAAAAAAAGATGCAGCGTCTACAACTGTTGTTACGCACGCATGTCATACAGTGGCGAGGCTTGAATGATCGATTATCGATATTTCCCCATTGAGGCTACGGTAAAGAATCGATTATTAAGGTGTTCGTTGCGAACACCCTGTTTATTGATCCCTTTCCATAGCTTCAAATGGCAGATCAATGGATATATCGCAAAGCGTGCCACGCCTCTGATGTTATACATTTTTCAAATTACCAATTCTTTAGACGACAAAAGGGACAGGGAGGGATAATATTGGTTGAAGCGGGTGGTTGCAATGGACAAAAGAGGTAAGTAATAGACTAGCTAACGGCAACCGACAAGAGACCATAGTGTTAGTCCATCATTTTACCTCTTAGTTTGTAAGAACCACCCGTTTCCACCAATAAGATCGCTCCATACTAACTACGTATTCTGTCAATCGCTTTGTCTATTAAGTTCCATAACCAGTCCGCAGTTTTGGGTATATTTTCTAAGAATAATTAAAAACTTACCTTTTTTGATAGCATGCTAACAGAATCATTGGCGGATCTAGCAAATTGACAACGTTGTTTTTCTTCATCTAAACATATGAAAATGCATCGATTCTTAAAGGGGCCAGGTGCTCCGACAAGAATCGATTATTTAACATAGGTTTAAATGGAGGGAATCCGGTGTTGCCAAATTGCTGGATCCGCCTCTGGACAGAAATTAAGAAAACAATCTCGACAAATCGCTATGCATTCGTGACACCTGCCCCTCGAATCTCGAGAAAAATGAATTCAAGAAAAAATTATTTTTGTACGAATAAGTAAATTAGAGATGATTTAATCTTTAACGGCGGCGTAGGCGTCAGGCCTTCAAACGAAACTACTTTCACGGGCAACGTTCCGGAGGCTTTGGTTAATTGTACATGGCGCGCAAGCGCAGGCCTGTCGGTAAAAAAACGGTACAGCTCGCAGCGCTGGTTGCGGTGTGGTAACGTGCGGTAAAACCGCCGCGTCGGGCGACAACCCATCCGGCAAACTTTAACAATTTAATTGAAATAACCAGCAATAAACAGTAGTTTTAGTCGAATTCCTTTACGAATCAACGCATCTAATGCGCCGTGCCGTGGTTTCGTCAGTTTTGGATTCGGGATTTCTCGCTGACGAATTCTCCTTGTCGACCACTTACCGGCTGTAGCCGCGTAGCCTTAATGCCACAGAGAAAGAAAACTCATTTCGAAAGTTTGGAGTCAGCCATTCTACCGGTCCCGCCAGCTTGCTGAAAATAGTTACTCGACCGGTCCCAAAAATTCCACTGAGGGAAAAAGTTAAAATGAATCGCAAGTATGCTGACGGGATAGTAAAGAGCCCCGTAAGGGCATTTCTGCATGAGTTATGCTTAGCACATGATCTGGACTGTAGTTTGCAATTTGGAAGTATAAATTCTGGCTTTTCTGGGAAAACACTTACGTGCATAGGGAAACTAAAGTCACATACGTTGTTTTTAAACCGGGCCAGACTTTATAGTTCCAAATTGCAAAATGTAATTCATCTGATGTGCCTCAAGGCTCTCCCGGATTGCACTTACAGCTCTCTTTCCGTGACACGGCAGTACGGTTCTCAAAATCGACCGATTCGTTTGGTCCATTCAACCGTGATTTCGGTTCATGTAACCAGTTTTATTCTTTAGTTCGGTTCGATTTAAAAGATCGGTTACACGGACGACGGATGCAGTTCCAAGGACTTAAAATACAGTGAACCGGATATTATGGCCAATGCAAAACGCCTTATACTTATGGTTCATGTGACCGAACTTTTTTTTCAAAGGGAAGGAGATATAATAATTGTAAATTCGTGACATTATGATGTGTATTCCAAAATTTTGACCACCAAAAATAAAAATACACAAAACAAAAACAAAAACCTTACGTGGTCAATCTATCATTCTCGATAGTGAGTCTTTGCACGTGCGATAGACACTCTTCAAACAATGCGTGATTCATGAGCTTGCATGGGTAAAAGAAATTAATAATAAAAAAAAGTCATTCGAACAATCTGGCACAAAATAAATGTCCACTTTTTTCATTATCTATCAATTTCAACACCACCAACGTTCGCCGCAAAAAAAAAAAAAATTGAGTGCCAATAACGGCCTGAAGGCGTTTTGAAATGCAAAGAGGTCTTGTAGGATGATAATGTGAGCTCAAGACACATGGATCAAGGGTACAATCTTCGGTTGTGTTAAAATAACGTGTACAAGCGTCCTCTTGTGATAAAATAACCGCTCGAATAACTTGCGTGTAATTTTATTCTAATGGGTTTCGGCTGATGCGGTGCGGCACGGCCCGGCGGTGAGTCGAATAAAACTGTCTGGGAGAGTGCCATGTTTCTTCCTCGAGGAATGTAATAATTAGGCTTAATGTTATGACTTGTAAACACAACCGGTTATAATTCGGGTGCCATAAATATTTAGTGTCGGGAGCACAAGCGCAATGGGAGGTCAGTCTTTACCTCTCTCCGCGTTCTTATGGTTTCAAAGTGTGCCATTATTTTATTAATTCACCAATAAAACGAACTCACAGAGAGGTGCGCGCGACACAAATGCACCAGCCATTTCCAAAATTCGCTGGTGTCATGTGAGGGCGAATTAGTAATTGGAGCCTCACTCATTGTATAACTCAACCGGAGGTAGTTGTCAGATGAGTGAGCATTAACTGCACCAGTTTGGATTCGGTATCGTTCCGATAACTAATGAGCGCATTCGATTGAATGGGGACGGATATAATTGCTTTTGAAGTGCTCTCTAAAACAATGACCGTTAAATTAGATGATTTTTTCTCGCTATAACTCAGGATTTCCAGTCCATTACTTTCCCTTCTTTGTAAAAATCCTATAAGCCTTTTTTGGCGAGAAGGAAGGAAAAAGAGAGGAAAGAGAGGAATCTCCAAATACCACGAGGAAATTATAAAATTCTTTGACGTAAAACAGACGAGGAAACATGTAATTGGAGTGAGGTGTTCATAAATTTACGAGAGCCTTTGTCCTCGGAATATCTTTCAGCCAAGTTCTAATTGACGTCAGAAAATTTCAGCTTACTTCTTTTCATAAAAATTTGAAGAATCTTCTTAATCGATCGGTTCCACGTGCTTTTCAATCTAAATACGTGTTCCAGCAAAATCTCTGGGGTTTCTTTTCTGGACAATGTCCTCCGAAGATTAAAAAGGGAATTAAAGTCGCGAAAAATGGGAAAAGCTGAAAAGCAGTTGTGATAAGTGATTTTTCACGATATATTTTTGACAAACCAAAAAACGTCTTTCCTTGGAATACTTAAACATTTTGAGAGCTGAAAGCTATTTTTCAAACGTAAGCGAGTTCATTTATACCGAGTGAATCTCAAGAATAGACCCTAGATTTGTTGATTAACCTGACAATATTCTATGTAATTCTGGGCGGGAGGGGGGGGGGCGCTCTCCTGGAGTTTAGGTCAAAGTGTGATTATTAGAAATAGTAGGCTGGTCACACGGGGCGCTCTCCTAATTTTGCAAGCTTCTAGTTTTTCCTTAGTTCCCGGGACAAAGTTTGAATATTTTTCTTCCTCCAAACATGGAAAAAAGATGTGATAGATTCTTTCATACCTGACGGGTATATTTTTGATAATCAACAATAGACTTCTTGGAACACTTACCATATTGCTGTGGATTTTAAAGATTAATAATTTCTGAATTCTATCGAGAGTCTGTTTATATATCCCGATCAAAAATGTTCACTGTATTAAGTGTTAAGTGTGAATTAATCAGATTTTCACTGAAATTGAAAATATTTGTTTACTACAACTGACAAGCCGCTTCTATGGAGCTGTCGTGCACTGCTAATCGCGACAGGTAGCGATCTTGCTAGGGTGTCTCTGGCAAATCGCAACTCCTATTTCCTGCCTTACCGTCTATCCACGATTTTTTAGGGCATCCTCCACGTAATCTGCCAGGGGGACCCAGCCCCGAACTCTCTTAGGCAACCTATCATTTAGACGTATTTCTACCAAACAGACCTATGTGCAGGTGAGAAATATGGGGTGTGCTCGTCGAAGCTGCATAAGAAGCAATGTAAAAGTGGGCGTGATTCCTTTTGAAGAATTGGAAAAGCGGGATTTTACATTTTATCAAACAGACCTATGTGCCAACTGAATGCGGAACTCATGAGCCGCGGGCATGGCAAGAGGGCGTTGTGGACAGAGCTCATGAGTTAAAGCGCCCCGACGACGATCTCCCCCTCGCTCGAGTGCGCACTATCATTGCCGCTGACTTCACTGGCGTTTTATTATTCCCATTCACTCTTACGGCCAGAGAACTAACGAGCACACCCCATATTTCTCACCTCCACGTAGGTCTGTTTGATAGAAATACGTCCATTTGGCATCCTTTGCCCGAATTTTGTTTATGCGTAAAAAATTCAAGCAGAAATGAATTTAATTTTCCTGTTCGATTTTTTGTTCCAGCGAGGAAGAGGCTGGGGTTTTGCGAGCGAATAGTTGGCTCTACCACTACTACCTGGTCCAGAGCAAGCTGCAATACGGGTTAGCGTACGAGACGGCGCGAATGCCTGCGGCGGCCGTGGCCTACTACCAACACCCGCACGCCATGTCGCCCTACCAGGAGCACACCGGCTCCTACCACCAGATCTCGGCCTCCCTACCAACCCAACCTCACATCCACTACCAGAACAGCACCCTCCAGCAGAGCATAGAGTCCAACTTCCGCTACGGGAAGCGCACCGAGCCGGAGCCGGTCGACTACTCCCTCCACTCCTCGCAGGAGGACAACACCCCGGCACCCACGCCTCCCGAAGGCAGATCTCTCATCAAGCAGGAAATCCCCCTGGCGCAACCCATGAAGACGGAGCTCTCTCCCCAGAGCTCGCCCTCTTCGGAGGTGATCGTGGACCTGGACCGGGGGTGCCACGAGTCCGGCGGAGGGACTCTTCTCCTGACGACGGCGGCCAGCCTGCGGCGACCGCGGATTTTAGTCAAAGCCGCGGCGGCCCCGGCGCCGGACCCTGCCGAGTTCATGGAGCAGTGGAACCCTAGTCCCCCGTGGTCGGATAGCGCCGTCCAGAAGGTCCCGGACATCGTGAGCCCGTACGTGACGACGACGCCGCCGACGCCGTCGTCCCTGCAGCCGCCCCCGCATTCGGCGTTCTCCTTCGACTGGTCCGGCTCGGCCGAGCAGTACGTGCCCAGCACTCACGGGGACTCGGCCGCCTCCCCCATGGACGAGGATCACTACCCGACGCTCCTGGCTTCTTTTCCGTGGAGCTCCGAGCACAGGCTCTTCCCCCTCCAGCCGCCTCCTGCTGTCGCCAGGCCCTCACTCATAGTTCGTCTCGACTCCGAGCCTATAGATCACCATCATATACCAGTCAAAGGTAAGATGTCTTCCGATACTACCAAGCGCATCTTTTTGTACAAACCGGAAACCCCCCCTTAAACAAGGTTACTCTGAAAGCAGAGACATTTAGAGGTCCTGCGGGCCGATTATTGAAACTGATAGACAAAGCGATAGACAAAGAAGACATAGGGAGTATAGAGCGATCCTATTGGTTGACATGGTTGGTTCTTATAGACAAAGGGAGAAAATGATGGACTAACTGTCGGGTTTCTCGTGGGTTGCCGTTAGTTTGTCTATTACCCACTACCTTTGTCCATTGCAACCACCAGCTTTCACCGATAGGATCCCTCCGTATCCCTTTTGTCATCTTTGTCTATAGCTTTGTCTATCAATTTCAATAATCGGCCCGCAGTACTGTTATCTTCCCTATGGTGTGAAAAGTACCTTTGGAAGTCAACGCTCGGCGGGCTGATTGTTGAAATTGATGGACAAAGCTTTAGACAAAGAAGACATAAGGAGAGCGAGGCGATCCTATTGGTTTAAGCGGGAGCCTCTGATAGACTACGGGGACAAATGATGGACTAAAACGGGGGTATCTCGTGGGTTGCGTTAGCAATGGAATTAAAAAAAATTACTGAATAAATCGATATATATAACTTCTAGGAACCCTCGCCCTTCACGCCTACACAATTAGGACTTTCTGAGGACAAGCTTCTACATCTGTGCATTGCTCATCCGAATTTATGAAAAAAATATATACAGGGTGTTTCAGACCACCCGTACCAGGCCTTTTTCTCGGTTGGTTTAGGTCGTACGAAGTCGAAGACCGCGGGGTTGAATAGGGAATTGACCCCAAGGAATCCGAATTTCGTGGTCCCGAAACCCCCCCACTCCCCCTTGGGGGGTAAAGGGGGGGTCACGATGCTAAAAGTCACGGTTCCCGACCGAATTGCGGATAGATCGCATCAGAATTGAAAAGCACGGAAAATTTCACGTGGAATTGACCCCTAAAAATCCAAAATCGGACCATCCAAGGCCCAAAAATGACCCCCTAAAGAGGGGGACAGTACCCCCCTCCATAATTTCTCTTTGGTCTCAAAATTGACGTAAATTCTCCAGAAAAAGACGGTTTCTCAGGTAATCGACCCCGAGAAATCCAAATTTCACGGTCCCGAAGCTCCTCTAGTCCCCCTTGAGGGGTAAACGGGGGGCCCAATTTTAAAAATCGGGGCTCCTTTCCGAATCGCAAATTGATTGCATCCAAATTGAGGAGCAGAACACATTTACATCTTAAGTGACTCCTATGAGTTCTAGTAGACCCCCTGAATGGCAGAAAGTAACTCCCTGAGGAGGGGGGCTTCGCCCCCGCCAAAAATTTCTCAAGATTCCTCTTTGGTCGTAAAATTGACGTCGATTCTCCAGAAAAAGACGGTTTCCCATGTAATCGACCCCGAGGACTTTAAATTTCATGTTTCCTGAGCTCCTCGGGGTCGATTACATGGGAAACCGTCTTTTTCTGGAGAATCGACGTCAATTTTACGACCAAAGAGGAATCTTGAGAAATTTTTGGCGGGGGCGAAGCCCCCCTCCTCAGGGAGTTACTTTCTGCCATTCAGGGGGTCTACTAGAACTCATAGGAGTCACTTAAGATGTAAATGTGTTCTGCTCCTCAATTTGGATGCAATCAATTTGCGATTCGGAAAGGAGCCCCGATTTTTAAAATTGGGCCCCCCGTTTACCCCTCAAGGGGGACTAGAGGAGCTTCGGGACCGTAAAATTTGGATTTCTCGGGGTCGATTACCTGAGAAACCGTCTTTTTCTGGAGAATTTACGTCAATTTTGAGACCAAAGAGAAATTATGGAGGGGGGTACTGTCCCCCTCTTTAGGGGGTCATTTTTGGGCCTTGGATGGTCCGATTTTGGATTTTTAGGGGTCAATTCCACGTGAAATTTTCCGTGCTTTTCAATTCTGATGTGATCTATCCGCAATTCGGTCGGGAACCGTGACTTTTAGCATCGTGACCCCCCCTTTACCCCCCAAGGGGGAGTGGGGGGGTTTCGGGACCACGAAATTCGGATTCCTTGGGGTCAATTCCCTATTCAACCCCGCGGTCTTCGACTTCGTACGACCTAAACCAACCGAGAAAAAGGCCTGGTACGGGTGGTCTGAAACACCCTGTATATATGTATACCTCTTAGATGAATCGGGTTAATTTTTACTTGCTGTTTTCTATTATTTTATTCGTTTTTTTACGATAAGTCAACACTCCGGTAATGCAGAACGCTGAGATTTCATTGCGATATCCAGGAAATATTTTGAGAAGGTTTGCGTCACTGTTGGTGTGAATAAGTAGTCACGAGTCTTGAATTGGTAGAGCTCGGCGAATAAATTGTGAAAACAAAGAAAGCTGAACTGGCACGCCAAAAATGATTGGAATTGCCGGGCTGAGATGGTGATTTTTAACAGGGAAATGCCCGGTACCGCTTCGCGATATTGGAGCGCAAAACGCGACGGGTCAAGTATAATTGTCCGCGCAGGACAATTACTGTTAATCGCTGGTGAAGTAGGAACCATTGTCGAGCATCTTGGTCAGGCGCGGTGACCAAGATTGAGGTATTTAGTGGTCTAACGCTCTCAGGCTTTGAGCCTTGCTTTATCGGAACTACTTTCGAGAAAAAAATCGAGGCGATTTTATTATTCGGTTCTCATCTGAATAAAATGCAAAAAAAACCCACAAACCTACACTGAAAAATAACTCCAGCCAGGGAAGCTGAACTAATAGGCTATAGAGACATATCGTCCGCATTCTGGGCTCAGAGGCCGAATGTCTCGGGCGTGCCTACCAGAGCAGTCGAAGTTACGGCTCCAGCACCCTGAACTTTTGGTCTCTGAGCCCGGAACGGACGGTATGTCTATTTTAGCCCGTAACTTTTTTCAGTGGGTATGTTCTTTTGCGTGTTGAACAGTTGCCTAAAAATTTCCTCGTCTCATTTGAAACTTCCGATAAGATTTCTTCAAAAATTCGCTACTACTGCGGAATTTGAAATTTTTCCGGTGGCCAAACATTTAATTTTGCATCAATTCTCTTACGTAGTCAGTTAGGTCATTGATTTTTACAACTGTCATTTCATGAAATTATTGCTTTGTTGCAGATTCTAGAGAAATTGGAGATAGTAACACGTGAAATAGCTGACTCTATTTTGAAGAGGACAATTTGACCAAAAACTTCCAACTACTACACTAAACTGGAGTTGCATCCGTGCTTCATTACTTATAGCACCAAAAAAGTGCAGTTGCAATGTTGAAGCTAGCCCACCTTGAACCAAAAGTCTGATAACTCAATAAGTATGCAATATGTTCATCGCCGATCGACCCGTTATAGAAAGTAATACATACGACTTTTTTTTAACCCATTTACTCACAAAGCCCACCGTTAGATTAGACTCTAATCATCTGAGGCTATCATGCGCAATGAGGTTCTCTACATTGCAAGCATTGGTTAGTGATTAGCAATTCCTTCCCGACAGAGTGATTTTTCGGTGAATGCGGGTATATTAGTTTCATTAATTATGCAGCTCTCTATATTATTTCCATTTTTTGTTGTACAACTTTAAGCAAAGAAAAAATGTATTTTTGAACCATGTAAGAAAATTGAAAGTTAAGTTAAGATATCAATGAAATACCATCTTATAACTTCAATTCCAACAGTCCAACTCATGACTTGGGCGCTTGGTTAAAATTATATTCACGCTTAAATTTTTAACAAGGTTTTTTTTTAAAAAAAAAACTATTATTCAAAAGAATACACCAAAGAATAGTGTAGCTCCTTTATTTTAAAGAAACATAGTTCTATAAATTTTCTGTATCTGCAAAAATGTAAAAACCTAAATTGATTTATCTTGACCCACATAAAAATAACACTTATCAACGCAGAGAAGCAAATGTAAAAAGGCAGAAGAGAAAAGAAAACAGTATTTACCCTTTTTCACCTTTTAGGCGATTGTGATACCTATTTTGAACCGGAATTTAAAATTTATATAATGCAGGAGCTACAGTAAATTTATGTCCTCAATGTCTGGCTTTCATTGGATTTTTACGAGTATCAACCACTCAGACTGAGAAGAGCAGGATGCTAAAGTAAAGAAAAATTTATACCTTTGAAACACTCTTGAAGTAGTAAGTAATTAAAAATCATCCACAAGCTTTTTGAATTAATTACTCTTTTTCTTTTCAAGCGAGTCACTCTTTGCAACTCTACAAGGTTTGAATGAAGAATCATTAAAATATTTATGATTCGAGAACAAGCGCTCTCTCTCTCTCTCTCTCTCCTTTCCCGTTTTTATTGCAAGGAGCACCATTAGCATATACATTTTCGATACTACGACATATCCTCCTATCTTTTTTTGCTCTCAGAAATAGCTATGGTATTACGTCATGTTCCATTTCGTTCACTTGCGCAATTATATTTCTTATAATTCTTGTGGAAGAATCTGCTGAAATTCAATATTTTAAAAATATTCAATAGAATGTAAGCATTTTCAGCGTATTCTAAAAATTAACTTTGAGTTGACCCGAGTTTCGTAAAATCACGCCCGATTTAAAACTCACAGAATTAAAAATGCCCTCTTAATTTGTGCTAAGTAAGCTGTGCTGTAATCAGTCATTCTGGTTACCTGAATTATGAATTTATGAAATACCTACTCTTTTTAAAGATTTTCCCTCCCTCAAATCATCTTTCTGTTTTTGAAACATTAAAAACATGGTGCTTTTGAAAATACGTTGAAAACTTTTTATCAATCACACTGAGAAAAAACTATGGCTTATAAACCTATTAGAGGTAAATATGGAACACCACTAATAGTAGTACCTCTACATATAATAATAGCACATATACCTTAGTTATGGTACGGGGTACCTTAATTAGGTACAGAGACCTTAGTATGGTTCACAGACCGAGAATCATTAGTTTATTTACGACTATTATAGGTGTTCCATATTTACCTCTAATAGGTTTATAAACCATAGTTTTTTCTCAGTGCAGAACTAGTGACCTTACTATTACTAAATGCAGACAATATTTTCTAAAAAAAAAATCCATCCGCTAAATCGGCTAAGCATGCGTTTTTATTCGAATATGAGATTATGTCATCATAATTATGAACGTTCAGAGAGAGTTGTCCCTTAGAAAAAAAAAAAAAAAAAAAAAAAAAAAAAAAAAAAAAAATCCAACTCGCCTTTTATTCCTTGAATAAATATTAACTTGATCAATAGAATGCCAGAAATATGGCTCCGTTGCGACTCAGATAAAAAAAGTAAAGGATAAAATCTGAAACGAAAATCGGTAGTATTTGCTTTGTTTTGAGGAAAAAGTTTCTTTTCTTTTCTGAGTAAGCTGTGATTCTAAGTGTAGCATTTATCATAGATGTTTTTGAAGATATTTTTTTAAAAATATTTCTTGTTTAATTTATTTACATTGTGTCCACTGATTTTGTGGTTTTGCAATATTTTAGACAATTAGTTAAATTAATAGATAAATTCGAAGTTATGAGTAAATTAAAATTATATTGTAATATAAAAGTTGTTGAATGATTTGTGTTTTATCATGTTTCAAGTTCATTTATTTCGTATTTTGTTTTTATTACTATTTTACATTTTAACTTTACCAAATATTTTTCTTTCTCCTTTACTCTTAGCTAATGTTACTTTTTTTCATCTGTTACTTGTACTTGAATGACAATCTGAATTTTCAGTCAACTTTACAGACGATTAGAATGAAGATTTTCGAAATACGGGGGTGAATTGAACTTTAAGTGTGCCTAGGAGTATTTTATTTCGTTTAATCGTGCTGGGAGATTGATTGGCATTTGGTTGAAAAAGTAAAACAAATTAAAGAAGTCTCAAGAATATAATTCATTTAATATTAGATTTATATATAATAAAAGCGTGCTTTTACACTCACGCAATATTCATCAAAGATTGTGATTTTTTAGAAATTTATGGCTGTAAAATGTGCTTCTTCAAAAAATAAGCAAGGAAATGTAAAGTTCTTAACTGCGCCTTATTAGATGTTATTTGTACAATTTTATTTATTTTTCTGTTTATTTAAAACATTCGAAGTATTTCTTGGAAAATCTGTTTACGCGCGTATTTATGATGGCGTAAATGAGATGTACATATGTGAAAGATTTTTATATAAACCTGTCGGAGTAGGAAATATATTGAAAAAAAGAAAAACACAGTTGTGATCTTTTTCTGAAATCAATCGCTTTGCATCTAATGTCAAAAGATAAAACAATTGTTGAATATGTTGTAAAAATAAATTGTTTAATTTTAAAATTTATGTAACATTTCTTTTTAAAACCATTTCCAACCCCTCCTCCTTCAACAATCTACAATTTTAAAAAAAAAGGATGTGGAATAGTATAATTTTGAAGGAATCCAAGCGTGTAAAGGAAAAGAAAAAGAAACATAAGCAACAGTAAACTTCAACCTTACATATCCTCTATTATATATACTCAATGACGCGACATTGAGTGGGGCATGAATTAATACTTTAAATTTACGTTTTGTTATGGTGAGATAGTGACACACGGAAAAGAATACAAATGGAACAAGCTCCAATATTTCATAGAGAAAAAAAAGGAGGTGTTTGCATTTCGGGCATCTTGGATTTTTTTGATGACGTAGGTCGGTACAGCGACTTTTATCATCGATTTTCTTGGAAATGGTGTAATTTATGGAAAAAAGTAATTCTATAAAAAGTGCTTGAAATTATATCATGAGTTGATTTTAGCAAAACAATGGGACATTATGGTTCATTTTTCATACTTCGAATTCCGGATTTCGCTGGCTAGGTTGTGACCTACGTCACAGGGTAAACAAACCTCAAGATGCAAACAGCTCCTTTTTTTTCTCTATGCCAATATTTTACGAAATGTTTTACTTTTACGGATTTGTATAAATAATTCTGACTACACTAGCGAGCGCAAAAGAAATGGAAAAAAAAAAAATACAAGAACTGATAGCTACGTGTTATTAATTTTAGGTCACTAAGTCCAGAAGGGGCCTTTCCGAAAAATCTAGATTGTCCCAAGCAGTTGGCTTTTCTGAGATAAATTTGATCAGTTGAAAAACTGGTAAATGAAAGAAGAAAACTACTGTCACTTTTCATCAACTATGAAAAATAATATTTTGGATTAGTTTTGACAATTTTACAAAAAACAGAGAAATGCTTCTTGATTGATTCATTATTACATTGCTAAGATACAACAGCTTTAGAATGATTAATATAAAATCATCACCAACCCAATCGAATTTTATGCCCACTTTTTTTACGTAAAATTGAACAACAAAAGTGATACTTTTTTGTGTGGAGAAATAGATCCTATGATTTCTTCCCAAGCGAATTCGACCAAACAGTTCCATTAAAAGAAGAGGGCAATAAATAACCTTTCCTGAAATAACAGAAGTATCAGTTTTGTACTCACTTCTCCATCAAGAATGGAAAAATTTTAAAACGCGAATAAGGGGTTCATGGGAGAAAGGACCCTAATCCACGAAAACTCAAAAGTGAATTATTATAAAAAGAGTAGAAAATTGTGCCCTTTGAAAATTATGGGGCATTTAACGCCTTAAAGATCCGGCGTTCAGCGCTCTAAGGTGTAAGGTGTCGGCACCCCGACCTCCCGTGGTGTAGAGGTAGTAGGGCTTTCTCTATAATCAGTAGGTTTTAGGTTCGATCCCCAGCTGGGCGAGTCGACTTTGATGGTTTCAAACAATGGAGGCCTTGGGCTACTTGTTGATCAGGGACTGAGAGAGGGTTGAGGCTCTAATCGTAAGCGCAGGGTTCGGCCTGGAGGGGTATGCGAAATAGCTGGAAAGAAGGAAGAAGAATGAAAAAACTGAAGGCCTGAAAGTTTGCGACTGAAAGCTGCCTAGCGACCCAAGATACTCATACACAGCGTCTAGCGCAAAGATACGCTATCGAATTTTCTTCAACAGATTGTTATGCCGTCTTCAGTAACTGATTTGCACTTAATTTGTTCCGTGAACCACTTGCTACATCTTTTCAGGGTGCTAGAAAGATGTTTCCATCAAAGGGGGATCCAGGGGAGGGGGCATAAGGGGTGAACCCCTCCCCCTGTTCGCCCGAAAATATGGTGGAAAAAAAGTGAAGAAAGGAAGAAGGAAGGAACGGACGAAAGAGGAGGGAAGGACGCCTGTAATTGGTAATTATTCATCACAGAATTGACTTAAACTACGCGTTAGATGCTTTAAAATTTCGGAAAATTTCAGGGGGAGCTCCCCCCCCCCCCCCNCCCCCCCCCCCCCCCGTTTGAAGTGCCTGGATCCGCCTGTGATTTCCATCACTGGAAAAAAAAACACATTGGATCCAGAGTCCAGACTCTTAAAAACATCGACAAGAAAAAATACTCTTGATTCAATCAGATTTCAGCTTAAATCAAGGACGAAGCCTCTTAATTTGAGCGGATTTCCTTTTGATCTAAGCTTAAATCTGAGTGAATCAAGAGTCCTTTTTCTTGTCAATTTTTTCAAGAGTCTGGACTCTAGATCCAATGTGTTTTTTTTCCAGTGATCGGAAACTCAAAATCGGATTCTCCGACCCAATTGGACAAAAATTGCACGACTGCAATTTTTCCCCTATAGACTGAAAATGCCTTTTTCGATGGGTGGTCGCATATTAGAAGACGAATATTTTTTAATGAGATCAAGATCATGGAGGGTTAATAACCCGCAATCATCAAAGATTTCTTAATCCTCGGCGTAAAGGGGGGAGGGTGCAGAAGGGGGAGAGAGTGTGAGAGAGGAGGGGTTGTACTGCCGTGCTAAGGAAGAACGCCGTATGAACATTCGAGAGTTGCCAAATTTCATTCGATAAAATGTTGATTTTTCAAGAAAGTTGTGAACATTTTTCCTTTAAATTTTCAGAATATTTAGGTAAAATTGCGAAATAAATCATCTGAAAAATTGGGAGGAAAATATTCATAAATTTACCAGGAAATTCGCGTTTTATAAAAGGAGATTTGGCAACGCCTGTAGGTCCATACGGCGTTTTTCCTTAGCACGGCAGTGTAGACCGTGATCCGTGGCGTTACTGCATGGACCGAGCGAGGTGAGCAAA